TGAAACGTTTTAAACAAGATGTTCGTAGAAAGTAGACTCAATTATCTACCCATTCTTCCTATCATATCTTGATGCTATCCCCCATTTATATTTTTAGAAAGATATTGTATTTAAAATCAACCCTTTTTAAAATAAAAATATTGCTTTATTTCTATCCCCCACCAGAGGGCCCTTTATGGTACAAAATAATCTCTCAACCTCTGTTTCAGCAATATGCTTGGGTTTAGAGAAGGAGTGAGCTAATATCACCTCCAATGCCAGCTTGGTATATTTGGAATTTGGGCACAGCTTCTCAAACTATTTCCTGCTGGATGAGGGTGCTGCATTCTTATGGGGACATAAAGAAAATTTTAGGATTATGGGGTAGTCCATGAGCTTGTATTGTCTTACAGAAACCTCTGTGTAACTCAGTGGGAATAGGTCATGCCCACATGCCTGGAACCCACCATAGAGTAGTTCAAGCCCACATGTTGCAGTATCTCACGACCCTCTTGAGACATGGTTCCTCTTCCTTTTAGAATTGGTTATTTTCAGATTTTAGGTGGAAACTCGAGCAGTTGGGTGCCTTTGTAGCTGAAGTTATCCTGTTTCTGCCCGGCTCCTGCTGCCCTCAGACACAAGAAAATACCCTGAGACTTACATTATTTACAAACTATATTGACTAATGGCTCAGGATTCTTGTTAGCTGTTCTTATATCTTAAATTAACCAATTTCAATTCATCTATAAGTTGCCATGTGACTTTTGGCTTACCAGTATCATTACATGTTGCATCTTATCATGGCTTCTGGCAGCTTCTCCCTCACTCAGCCTTCCACTTTCAAGAATTATCCTCTCTCTTGGTCCTGCCTATACTCTCTGCCTGGCTACTGGACAATCAGCACTTTATTTATTAACCAATCAGAGCAACACATGCAGAGCATACAGAACATCCCACAGCAGATTGGCTGTAGGCTCCCTGTTATGAATTGAGACAGAGCAAGACCCTTAGCGTTAAGGAGCTGGTATAGATAGGACAGAATTGGCCTCGTGACAGGAGATGACTGTGAGGATGTGTGTTAAAATATATCTATTGCCTGTGGTGAATGACATGAGTTTGGCCTCTAGCCTGCCACTGTCCTAGCTGCCTGGTTGGTACAGTTATTTCCCTTAGAGGTGATAGAGTTGTCAATCTGATGAGATTGACAGTAAATAATTCCTATTACATTTGGGACATAGGAAGCTTTATCATGACCATTATTTGGCCTGAGTTAGTTATGAATTGTCCTTTTGATGTGAGAAGCCCATGCTTTTTACAGATATTAATGTGGGACAAGAGGATATGAAAAGTACATTTGAAATTGGGTATTGGTGGCACATGCCTTTAATACCAGCACTCGGGAGTCAAACCCAGGCAGATATCTGTGAGTTCAAAGTTAATGTGGTCTAAAGAGTGAGTTTCAGGACAGGAACCAAATTTACACAATGTAATCTGTTTTCAAAACAAAAATAAACAGTGTATTTGGAGTATGTAAAATCTTTAGGAATTGCCCCTGTGCCAACTAGAAGGTACAGGTGAGAGACATTAGCTCAGCCTGTTGGTTAGTAATGTATGTCTTTGAATCTACCACCCCATCATCTGCAATTATAGCATATCCTACTTTATGGGTCTGATATTGAAAAATGGATGAGAACATGATGAGAAGCAGCTTGTCGTTCAGAGCAGCAGCAGAAGCCTCCATAGTCTCACTGCCACTGTTTCTGGCCTGGAACAGCCCCAGCCAAAGGAGACTCAATCTCAGGGTTGTGCCTTCAAGCCCCACATTGGGCACCAGATGTAACATGAATCTTAAAATGTCATCTTATTAAAAAACTGGATGCCAGCTTTTAGGGTGAATTTCTGAAAGATCAGAGGAGCAGAATAAGCCATAGTCAATGTCACATGGATTTTCAGTTAAGTGTGGAAATTTTAGAGTGTTTCCCATCTGTGTTGGCTTTACAACTTGTGATTTCTTTGTACCAATCATTTTTGATTGTTTCCTTGCTTTCATGTAGTATTTTGTTGGTGCTCAAATTTTGCAATATTTATGCTTCTTAATTCCCTGTCATTCTTAGATGGCACTGTCTTCACTGAAGTCATCCTTACCCTTTAATAAGAATTGTGTGTGACCAGTATATTTAACATTTTCTTATTCTAAGAATAATGATGAGTGTTCTGGTTTGAATATGTGGCCTGAGACAAGACATTACAAGTTCTATGCCATTTGAGAAGTTGTGGAGTTGTGTAATAGTGATGTAAATGATGCTTTTTTTTCTGGCAGTCACAGCCAATGTTGCCTGTGATTATAAGGATGAATATTAAGAAGAATGTCTGAAATCTTATGATTTCAGAGAAGTTGCAGATGAATGATAGCCTTCTGGGTCTACTGTCTCCCTGACAATGTGCACCATGCTAACTTATTATATTGGCCAGATTTTTGTGTTCCTGTCAGTGAGATATTTCTTTTTTCCTGAAAAGAGTTAGAGGGTAAACTTCAGACATGTGTTTGCTTAAGAAACTAGCAATAAGCTATAGAGGGCTAAATGTTGGTAATGTGTGACATTTGAAAGACCTGGTAAAATCATCAACATTACCTTTTTGTATTGTAGTCCTGTTACCTGCAGTTTCTCCATAATAAAACAGAATGATTATAAGTGAACATAATAGATCTATCAGTGACTTAAGGGACTGTTATTAAAATCCTTCTAGGGTAAACAATTGTTAAAATGACATCCCTGCTTAAGAACAACATTGATTGCACATAATTTTACCAAATTCTATGCTTTTATGAACAAGAGACTCCTCAGTATTTCTCTTTTATGATGTGTGTGTGGATTGCAAAAGAACAACAGAGACACTGGTATGTGGTATAATTTTCTTTTTTTTCTTTTTTTCCTTTTTTTTTTGTTTTTTCGAGACAGGGTTTCTCTGTGTAGCTTTGTGCCTTTCCTGGGACTCACTTGGTAGCCTAGGCTGGCCTCGAACTCACAGAGATCCACCTGCCTCTGCCTCCGGAAAGCTGGGATTAAAGGCCTGCACTACCACCACCTTTAATTTTAAGCTCACTGTTATATGTCTAGATTATTTTTCTGCCAATATATTTTTTTACTGAATATCTGTATTGTTTTTGACCTCATGGAACAAATCCTAAACCCCTATGAAAGTTGCACTTTAACAGGGCTCAGCTTAGTGTATGGGTTGGCACCCATCATTTGTGGTTGGCTTTTGATCCTTGTTTTGCTGAGAGCCTAGCTTCATGGCTTCGCTATCAGGGAGCCATGATTACTGCTGCAGCTCTGGGAGGTTGTTGGTCCATGCTGACAGTGATTAGCAAACTGCCAACTGCTTATAAACACCATTTAATCTACATGCTTTGAAACATAGGCTGCCATTAGTGTATTTGTTCTTGGCCTTTCCTGACAGCTATAAAAATAAAACAAAATAAATGACATCCATGTGTCTGTCCTGAACTACTATGTATTTGTAAGTAAGACAAATCATTACAGATTTAAGAATCTGACAGACACTTGGAGGGTCCTGCTTATTCCTATCTGCTATTTATTTTTCAGCACAGTTTACCCTTTGAGAGAAACTTGAGGTACATTGAAACTCACTATCAGAGTTTAATAGGCAAAGGGAAAAGGGAAAAGGTGCATTGGATTATGGACATAACTTTTGTGGATAGGGTGCAGAGGAATTGGTGGAACCTGTCTGTATGGGACTTCTCAGCATGGGCATATGGGCCTATACAGCTGTGTCATGCAGGTGCCTAGACAGGTTACATGTTCATGTTGCTCGCAAATTATGTGACCAAGCAATGAATGTATGACTTAGGACATAAGGTCCTCTGGTAACTTAACATCTTTCCTGGCTGCTGGACTGTGCATGTTTTTATGGAGATGGGAGTGTGGCTAGGAAGAGTAACAATCCAGATTTGTTTTACTTATTAAAAAATAAATGGGTTAGGGGATACAGGTGAATGGGAGTGGGGACAGACTTTCTCCCAGAAATGCTTTCATCTGAGGCAGTGGGCATTGGTTAACTTTTGTGGGTATAGAAGGGGACATTTTTGAGGTAGCTGGACATTCTGTGGTAGTTAATTGTGTTCTACAGTGTATGATCTTTGGACTATTCCTTTCCTTCTTGGATCTTGCGGTGATAATCTGACAAGGTACTGGCAGGCTAAAGAGGTAATTTATTAAAAACATTATTGGAGGAGGCCCAAAAGGGGTCCCAGATGGAGCAAGGAAGGACCTGATATCACAAAACTTTGAATGATACAGATCTGAAGTGTTTCTGCCATGTCCATGTAGTTCGAAGGTGACTTTATAGCCTGGAAGTATTTTCAAACATAGTAAGGGTCAATCACAGGGAATTTAAAATCTTCATTTTCATTTATATTTTAGAACTCTGATATCAGAATTTAATGGTTAAGCTGGTGGTGGTGGCACATGCCTATAATACCAGCACTTGGGAGTCAGACCCAGGCAGATGTCTGTGAGTTCAAAGCTAGCATGGTCTACAAAGCGAGATTCAGGACAGGCACAAAAAATACACAGAGTTATCTGTCTTGAAAAGAAAAATAAAAAGCATATTTGGAGTACATATAACCTTTAGGAATAGCCCATGTGCCAACTAGAAGGTACAGTTGAGAGACATTAGTTCAGCCTGTTGGCTAGTAGTGTATGTCTTTGATTCTAACACCCCTGTATCTGACACTTTGGCATATCCTGCTTTGTGTCCCATCATGTAAAAAGGAGCAGCCATCTGTGTACCAGGTATAAGTGGCCTGAGGCAATGTGCACTCCTGTGTGTGTGAAGGATGAGGCAAAAATTCCTTTAGGATTTAAGTGCAGTAGTGAGATGTGGAATAGTCAACACTCATTCGAGCAAGAAGGATTGAAATTTTAACAAGTGGGAAGTCTGGAAAGAAAGTGTAGTATCTTCCAGTAATAACACTTGGAGAGAAAAAAACACGGAAGTTGAAAAAGTTTGTAAGACTTTATAAGTTAAAAGATGGAACAAATTATTGTGGGAAGGTGATGGATTAGGTGACCCAAAATTTCATTTATTTGATTCACTATTAAGGAACTTAACAGCCCCCGAATCACATATGATTGGTGACCCTCCCTGTGTGGTGAGGTGTAGTTTTTTGACAGGTATGCTACAGGTACAATGGAGCGTCCCTGCTCTTGCCCAAGAGTCCCAAGAGTATATCATTCTCTTTCTGTTTCATAGACGGAGAAGGGATGGATGAGTTGATCAGGGAATTGTAGTGCAGAGTCCTGAAGCAGAGTCCATTGGAATTTCTGGAAAGAATTAATAATGGGGTGAATAAAGGATTCATGCAGGATCCCTGAGCTGCCTCATATAAGCGGTGAGCCAGGAGATTAAAAAAAATTAAACACAGGATAATAAGGAGTCAGCTTTTTTTAGAAATGATAGAATATCTTGTTTAGTAGAGCAGCCTGCAAAAGACTGAACTGGATGCATTCTATCTGAAACTATAACCTTGGATGATGTGGTAATGTTTACACCCAAATAGGTGACCTGAGGAGTGGAGAGCTGCATTTTAGAACTTGAGACTCCATAAATCAAGGTGTACAAAACATTTAGAAGAGGAGAGATATTAGTTTGAGAAACTTATACTTGTGGACCACAGAGTAGATTGTTATCTACTAATTGTAAAAGTTAAAGCCAATGAGGGAGAAGGAGAGCAAGCCAGAAGCTGGGGATTGATGAAAAATTTGTGGGACGTCCATAAATCTGTGTGTCAAAACAGTCCAAGTTAGCTACAAATACAGGTAAATGTTAGCGTCTGTCCAGGATAAGGACAAAATATTTTGAGACAGAGTGTGGAGAGGTCTGGAAAAGAAGGTATCCTTGAGACCTAGAACTGAGTAGTGTGTGGTTTCTGAAAGGATGGTGTAAAGAATTGAGTAAAGTCCAGTCATTACAGGATTGAGAGAACCCCTGAAGATCTAATGAACTGCAGGTGTAGTGATATTTTATTTGTGCTAAAATGTGTTGCTATTTTATTTATGCTTTATTAAAGCTTGCTGGAGATCAGGCATGAAAGGCCAGCCATTTTCAGTAAACATAAATACAGGCAGCACACACCCTCACTAAGAACACTTATCAGACAGGGTCTCTGTGTGTTCAAGACCATATTAGGGAACAGAGCAAACCAGGGTGACACACTCCATTAACTCCAGTACCAAACATAAAGACATTGGGGTTTTGTAGAGACATACAATATAAAAAAGAGAGATAGTGGGGCCAATGTAGCCAATTAAAGGCATAAGAGCAAGATAATGAAAGCATGTGTAAGACAGCAAGTAGCTTGCATTTGGAAGCTGCAGGGTTGGTGAGGTTAGGTTTGCTTGTGACTTTTCCAATTTCCCTGATCACTAAGTCTTCACCCCTATATTTGGCACTGTGTTTTTCATTTAAAGAGACCATTTAGAAACTTGAATAAATGCAGGTCTAAATCAGGTGGTATATTCTATTAGGATTCTTAACTCTAAATATAGTGGTGTTAAAAGGAGAAGTGTTTGGATGAAGTAGCTTCTTTCTGAGAAGTTCAGGGATGATAGGGTTAAGTCCTCTAAGGCTCTGGAGTGAAAGAGTATACTGAGTTTGAGTGATGTACCAGGTAGGGTGCTGGAAATGGATAACAATAGAGTGATGGTTTCTAGCAATAGAAGGAGTCTGGCCATCCACGACATTGGAGTCCATATTAGAGATTGAAAGGGAAATGACATGTCAGAGATAGAGGGCTGAGTGTCAAAGAGGAGGAGGAGGAGATGACCTGCTGTCAAATCTGTGGTAGGGAAATGTGGGCACAAATGAAACAGATGTGAGTGCCTTAGCTAAAAAAATCTCTTCCCATTAGGTGCACAGGGCAGGTTTCCATAAACAAAAATGTGTGTAAAAGATATACCCATGAAAATATATTTAAGTCATGGTGTTTGGTGAGGTAATTAAGGCTGTCCCTCAACCAAGACAACAGGGATATTGGAATGACAGGTAAGACCCCAAAACTTGCACAAGATGCAATAATGGCCTCCAGTGTGCAAAGGAAGGAAATAGATCATCCCTGTACAATAATGGCTTCTCTAGTTCTTGGTATGACATCACTTTTGGTGGGTAAAGACCTGAGTACCTCAGTTGTCCATTATGCAGGTTAAGAAATTGCCTGTATGTTGGTCTTCAGGCTTTAGGATCTGGCATCAAATAGGGGAGTCCTGCTCTTCCCTTCTTCTGAAGCTACTGCTTTCCTTAAGGATATAGCATCCCTGTGCCAGTTTTGATGTCCTGCTCTATTGGCAAGTAAGTTGATTTTCTTGAGGCTTTAGTATCTGGCAGAGACTAGTGAAATCTGCTGTTTCCTCTTCCCTGGGCGATTTATTGTGGAAATGGCTATGACATTGTAGTTTTATTCATGAACCATAGAGACACTGAAAATATAGAGCAGTAACATTTGCAGTCACTTCTCTCTCTGTCACCAAAGGCAATAAAGTATGGAAAATAAAGTATAGCACTGGAAAATTACTTGTTAATATCCTGATGTCTTTTACGGATTTACAGGATCAACTTTGCATTCTTGGTTTGCATTATCATGGGGTTTTTGCATAAAGAGTCTCTTGTACTTGAATTTTCCTACTTCTCAGTCCATTTGTATATATGAAAGAAAAGAGGGCATTAACTTAATTGAAAGTCAGTTAGTTATTGATGATGTCAGACAGGCATTTAATACTTCATTTGGTAATAATAAACAAACCTATTCTTCTTTTCTTGAATAATTACTTGATTCCTCCCCTGATTATTTGGTCACTATGACAAAATGTCATTTGGGAGTTGCTCACTATTTTATCTTTAAGGGTATGTAGCTCATTAGAGTGAGAAATTTTGTTCCTCATCATTTAGTCCATAACATGCTGATTAACCTTCAGTCCTATCACATGAGTGTCTCAATGTTTAAGTTCTTTGATTCCCAAATAAGGAGCACAGCAGCTGCTAAAGCACGAATGCAAAGTGCCCATCCCTGTGTGGAGAGGTCTAGTTTTACTGACAGGTATGCTACACGTGCAAATGGGGGCACAGATGATGCCCTTGGGCACCTAGGGCATAACCCTATCTTTCTGTTACATAGAGGGAAGGGGTGAATTATTTCTGTAAGGTTTAGGATCAGCCATTTGAAGACCTGCAAGGCGGCAGTTCATAAATCAATGCTAGCACTTGGGAGGCACAGCCAGGCTAAACTTGGTGAGCTAGAGGCCAGCATGTGCTAGAGAAGGAAATCCAGGACAGGCACAAAAGCTACACAGAGACACCCAATTTCTAAAAAACAAACAAACAAAAAAAAACAGAAAAAAAGGAAATAAAAGGACCACAGAGACAGCTGTCAGATGCACTTGGCAGACCAGTGTCACATTGAGAAACGTGCAGAGAGGAATAGAGCCTGTCCTGTAGATAGGTAGATTTTAGGACAAAGCAGCTGAAAACTCACTCAGCCCACCAGCCAACATCAGACAGTTTTGTACTGTTAGTTGGTGTCAGAGCCTTGGTTAAATTACGTTTTATCCTGTGCTCCCTTTTCAGTTTCTGTGCTTCTTTAAGAAAACAGGAGGGGGGAGGATAAATGAGTCAGCAGCTCTGATGGAGATCACTAAATTCACTGATGTCATTTGCTTTCTATTCCTGGGTTTGAGATCTCACACCTTATTGGTTCCTAATCTATGTCTATTCAAATAGGAGGCAGTCCGATGAAACAAAAATGCCTGCACTGAAGGGTTTTACCAGCTGGGCTCCTGGCTAAATTCCAGCTTGCAGCTGAAATTAGGCAGGAGTTCTGTTCAAAACACCTCCAGAGAATGAATACTGTCCCTGAGAGCTGCAAAAGACCAAGGAAATATATGCCTAGAGATAGGCAGGGATTTGTGAGGATTCCCCACATTCCTGCTCCGAGTCACCTGCACCTGTGTGCTGTGCAGGAAATGTGCCACTAAAGCCACTGCTTCACCTTAGTATCTGTGATCTCTGCCTCAGTCCAGAATTGTGCATTATCACATTGTTGGCAAAGAAGTCTTATGTTGGGAGAAATACCTGACATAAAACAGGGATGTATTGATCATTTGCTCCTGCAGTAGACCCATTTAAAAAATGACTGAGTCAGGGAATATTCTCACAGCCACCTGGGATTCTGTGAAAATTTCAAGTGTCAAATTCCACATAAAGTGCATTTGGGGAATCTAAAATAGCATATCGGAAACTGTTCTCTGAAAGGTACAGTTGAAAGCCCCAAATCATAATCAGCCATCGGCAGGTGGAAAGCAAGGCTTTCAAGTAGACATTCAGGGCCAAGTAGCTGGAAGCATGATCACCCCCTACTTACCACAGCATGCTTTTCTCATTTGGGAATGGCATTTTTGTCCCAAGATACATTACCTTTTTTCCAGTCATCCATTTTCAGTTTCGTTTTTATAGCTGCAGCGCTGCAGCACACATTTACTTGAGAGGGTGAAATGACTCAGCAGCTCTGAAGCAGATCTCAAAGAGTGCCACAGGATTTGCTTTCCATTGGTAGATTTGAGATCACTCTCCTGATTGGATCCTATGCAAGGGGCATTCCCGACTCCCACATTTCCCCAGAGTACTCTTGCTTAGAAGCAGCAGGAAATATTAGGTAGAATGATAAGGAGGGGGAGTAACAGAAATAACAGATTAGCCTCCAGATTGCCTGGATTTAAATCCGTGTGGCATAAGGTATTTAAAGGAATGCCAAGGGGTGGAGGAAAAGACCTCCCCCCAGCACAGCACATTGTATACAATCTTAGTCACCTGTACTCAGCCCATGGTCCCATCATCCTCTCTATGCAAACTTGCTGGGTAAATGGGCTCTAACAGGTTCCTATTCCAGACACAAATGGAAAGCACACACCCCTTGTTCAGAAGCAAGGAGAGTTAATACAGTTGTGAGCAGAGCAGGTCCTTACCTGTCAGGCTCTGGCTATATTTGGGTTGTCAGGTGCTCATGGGTATAACCAAAACCCTATTGTACATTGACCTAGACAAAGCTGATTGATCCTAGCATGCACAAGAAACAGAGCCCTTGGAAATTTGCAAATTCAGACATTGTTTGATTCCCACCATTACAGCCCTGATTCACCTAATCCTGTCAAATGTGCAGCAAGCAGATCCTGCTTCTGCATATACTGCTTGTCTTTAAAGATGAGGCCTCCCTCTGTTAGTTTGAATTCACTTGATATGTTCCTATCTTGCAGAGCCTAGAGGAATCCTGCCCTTTTCTTCTTCTCAAGTTACTTCTTCCCTTAACGATATGGCATCTGTGTATCAGGCTTGAAGTTCTGCTCTATGGGCAAGGAAGATAATTTTGTTAAGTCTTTAGTATCTGCAGAGACTAGCGAAATCCTGCTCTTTCCTCTACCCTGGGAGATTAATTGTGGGGATGCCTAGGGCACTGTACATTCCATCATGATCTTCAGAGTCACTGAAAATATCGATTAGTAATATTTGTAGACACTACCCTACCTATCACCTAAGAAAATAAAATATGGATCATAAATTATAGCACAGGAAAATTACTTGTTATCATCGTTTTGCCATATAGGTTCGCACAGGCTCAACTTTGCATTCTTTTGCTTTATTACTGTGTTCTGGCATGCAGAATCCCTTGTACATATTCTTTTCTAATTGTTAGGCCATTCCAATATATGAAATCTGACAAGGCATGAGCCTGGTTGGAAATCAAACATTTATTGCTGATTTCAGAGATTTATTCAGTACTTCCCTGTAAAATAATAAACACACCATATTTCCTTATTCCTTTTGTATTTATTTTTGTATGCATTGAATAAGTGCAGATCTTTTCTTGTGTCTCCACCCACAACTCTGAATTCCTATGTCCTATAGTAAAGTTGAGACTGGAAAATGTTGGTACATTGGAATCATCAACCACCTCTGATTCTCCATGGTTCTTTCTGCCATCTCTTCAACACAAATATGTGGGGATCTCAGGTATTGTTTTGCAGAAGACATTAAACTTCAGAACATAATACCCAAAAGCATCTCTGTCTCTATAGTAAGACCCACTCTGCACATCATTGTGTTGTTTCCCAAATATTGTGTGAAGTATGTCTGTGATTAGTGCCAAGTGATGAACATATATGTTAGTATATCCCTGTCATTAGGACTTAGTTAATTTCTCTATGACCTTGGCAGAAGGAAAGAAATTGTTTTTCTATGAGTCTGTCATTTGAAAGTTGCTCACTATTTTCCCTTTCAGGGTATGTAGCATCTGAGAGAGGGAAATTTTTTTCTTCCTCATTTTAATCCACTAACACACACAAAAAAAACTTCTGTCCTAACATATGCAGTCAATCCCAGCGAATCTTCTAAATAGCAGCAGATGGATTTGTCTTCTATGATGACATTAATATGTAGGGACTTCAAAAAGAGCTTCTTTCCATCATATTATGCGGTGTTAGTGTATTTTTGAAATGGTCTGTTGAGATTCACGGTTACACTAAAGGCATACCTTTGAACATAATTTCAAAGAAATAACGAATTGCTGTCACATGAGTGAGAAACTCTGACACTTATTTACAGTATAAGGAATTACGTTTTCATAATATCTCTCTATATATTCTATTTTGCATTTCAATTAATTATAATATTTATGTAAATTGTATATGTGTATAGGTTTGAGGTTGCTCATGCATATATATATGTATATATACATATACACAGATTCATATGCATTAGTACACTATCTTGACACAGTTTAGAATTCTATTCATGTATACATTTAGATTATTTCACAAATCTTTTGGCTCCTTCAATTTAATATCAGCACTGCAAACTATTAAAATAAACACCTCTGTTTACTAATGTTATTTTACCTAATTGTTCATCTACAAATGTATACATGACTAACTCACCCTCTATATAGAATATGGTGTTTAGGTGTAGCCATTTTAGGAATTTTTTTTTTTTTTTGGATTTTTGGGATAGGGTTTCTCTGCATAGTTTTTTTCTTGTCCTGGATCTCACTGTGTAGACCAGGCTTGCATAGAACTCACAGGGATGTGCCTGCCTCGGCCTTCCGAGTGCTGGCATTAAAGGCATATGACACAATGCCTGGCACCTTATAAAGTCTTTACCATTTGAGCAGTTGAGATATTGTGTAATACTAATGTAAAATATGCTATTATTTTATGACGGTAGCAGTCAATGTTACATGTGGCTGCAATGATAAATAGTTACAAGACAGTATGAAATTACATGTTTTCAGTGAAGTTAGAGATGAAAGTTCTCTTTCTGGATCTACTTTCTCCATGGCCATGTGGAATATGCTAGTTTATGATATTGGGCAGAGTGTGTCTTCCTGTCAATGACAAATATCTGCATTTCTGAAAAAAAATTAGTATGAGAACTCAAGATATATCTTTGGGTCCCAAAACATTGGGACAATTTGAACAGCTAACTTCTTGTCAAATTTATGACATTTTGAAATGGCTGGTAAAACCATCAACTTTACCTTGTTGATTTGTAATCATTTAAGCTGCAATTTTGCCTTCATAAAGAAGGATGATTAGAAGTGGGCATAATAGGTCTATCTATGTCTTAAGGGATTGTTTCTAACATCCTGATGGTATAAAAAATTGTTAAAAGGACATCCTATATAAAACAAAAAATGGTCCAGCAAAATTTAACCAAATACTGTGGTTTTATATCCTGGAGAATCCACATAATTTTTCTTGTAGGATATGTGTGTGTGGATTACAAAAGAACAGCGGAGACACTGGTATTGGGTATATTTTTAAACACACTGTAAACAGTTTAGACATTTTTTCTCTGTCTGGATCTCTCTTTAATAATCACATGTGTTGTTTTTGATCTCATGAGACAGATCCTGACCTACTATGACAGTTTCTGTTTTAGAGGACTCAAGTTATTGTATGTTTTGGCTCATGGCATTTGTTGTTGTCACATCCCACCACCTGGATCTCTGAGAGCCCGAATTCATGGCTCAGCTAACAAGAGCCATGACTACTGCTACAGCTCTTTCAAATGTAACTGTGTCATCACTTCTAGGGACTTATAGTAGACAACATAATTGCTGAGAATATAAACATATGTGTATTTTTCTTTTATAAAATAAATTTATCTTACTATATTTTTTATCATTAAGACACTGTGAGATATTATATTACTGTTGGCACTATTTTGAAGAAAGCATGAAATCCACATTTTTTCCTTAATCCTAATAGATTTTGTAGAGCACCCTAATAGATATAAATATATTATGTATTATTATTCAACTACATGTAAAACTATGATTATAATTTATAATTATGCAACAATATGTGTAATTATATATCATAATTATAATTCTACTACATAAGAAAACACACATAATTTTCTGACACAAACCAATCACAGAGACAACAGCCAGATGCACTTGACAGCTCACAGTCACAATCAGCAAAGTCGAGACAAGAATGAAGACTTTCTTGTAAATAGATAGAATCTAGGCCAATCAGCTGGAAGTTCTCTCAGCACATCTATTATTTATTTTATTGCTATTTACCATGTTAGAGAAAACAAAAAGTGCAATAAATCCCAGTGGAAGAATGTTAATTGGGAAGGGCAAAGAGGGATTGTGCAATAGGCATACTAGAAGTGAATGGTGTGGAAAAGGTGGCCAGGGAATGGGTGGAATCTGCAATTGTTGGTTGCCTGAGCATGTGCTCATGGTCTTGTGCAGCTATGTCCACATGCACATAATTTACTTGATGAAGCTTCAAGCATATTCCATGTTCATCTAGCACAGGGATTACAAAGGATGCAATGATCTGGGATGACTAAGCATTGTGCCTGACTAATGGTCAGTGTATGCATGGTTATTTAGTTAGGTGTGGATAGGATTTGTAACATTCCTACTACACTTGTAGTTATAGGAAAACATAGGGAGTTAAGGGTGGCAGATAAATGGGAATGGGGGTTCTGTTCCACCCAGAACTACTTCAAGCTGACTAGTTGGGCATTAAGTAATATTGGGGGTAGGGAAGGGGGCTTTCCAAGAGGTAGCTGGACAATTGGAGGTAGCTAAATATTTTCTTCTGGTTTGGGCCCTGTGAAATTGACAAGTTGCTGGAGATGCAGAAAAAGAATGTGAGAAAAAAATTATCTTGCGAGGTCCCCAGGAAGAGGAAGGTACATCCTATGACCAGTGAAGGTGAAAGATACATATCTAACGGTGATCTGGATTGCCCAGGTGGATCCAAGCTGGCTGTAGGGCTTAGAAGAAGTTTAAAATTTACCAAGAATACAAATGTTAAAAATATTATGGAGCAATCAAAAGGAATTTAAAAATCTTGAGCTGCTAGCCATGATATTATAATGTTAAGTACTCTGCTGCTATCAGAATTTTATTGTTTAATGTTAGCAAAAGCGATAGAAAGAGACAGACAGAGACAGAGACAAAGACAAAGAAAGAGAAAGAGAGAAGAATGGAGAATGTAGCTAGAGTTTTCCAGGTCCTTCCTGGTCCAAAGTCAGGACAAATCTCTCTCACCCACCATTCCTGAAGCTGCTCAGACCCAACCAAATAAACACACAGAGACTTACAGTGCATATAAACTGTATGGCCATGTCAGGCTTCTTGCTATCTGTTCTTATATCTTAAATTAACGCATTTCTATTACTCTATACTTTGCCATGTGGCTCGTGCCTTACTGGTATCTTACATCATGATTCTCCTCCCTGCTGCTGGCAGTGTTTCTCTGCCTCAGCCTTCATGTTCCCAGAATTCCCTTCTCTGCTCATACTGCCTATACTTTCTGTCTGTTTACTGACCAATCAGCATTTTATTTATACAGAATGATATCTCCAGGAGGAGAAGGAGAGGGAGATAAAGGAATATGGATCATGCATTATTTTTTTTTTTACCATTTTCAATTAGGTATTTTTATCTTCTCCTGAGACAAACCTTAAGGCACATGTTTCCTTTAATTTTTTAGTATTGAACAGACACAGGAGATAACTTGCTGAGGGCATTTAACAATGATAGATTGTTATATTAAAGTTTGATTTTACAAAGTGAAGACCCTTTTGACAATGAGGTGTTTATACCTCTGGTCCATTAGGGTTTCTTACCAGTATATTTTGGGTATATTTTGATATTTCTTGTGTCTCCAGATGTATGGCTTATATTGGTCTTGTAACAATTAGCTGGATATTTAATTAGAAATTTGAATATGTTATTAGAGTCAAGAGAGGGAAACTGATGAAGCAGAATATGTAGTAGGGACAGGAGAACTTGAAGAGGGAATCAGGAAGAAGAAAAAACTTATGGAGTTCACAATTCAGTGAGAATGAATGTGTGTGAGAAAGCACATTCTTTTGAAATTGGTAACAAGGCATTAATCTAGATGTCCTCTGGAAGTTAAGGACTGGGGCCCTGTTTGTTTTACTGTGTATGAGGAAGAATTTCTCTTGGGTGAGGGCAGGATATAAGGTTTCAGGCTGTGGAGATGTATTCAGTGGGGAAAGCCCTCAAGTTTAGCCCCTGTGGGGGGTTACAAGAAGTCACTTGAAGGGTACCTTCCATTTAGTGTAAAGGGTTGAGTTTTGCTGGACTGAAGGGGAAAGAAGGACCTGATCCCCAATGAGGATAGAGGATTGTGCATGGATTACCACATGGCTGGTGTAAGGAGTAGACACCAAAATTCCACAGAGACAGCAGAGGTGATAGTGCAGAGGACGGAGGAGGTGATCAAGGAGAGGTAAAGGTTTGGATCAGAAGCCAGGGGTTAGAGCTAATAACCCATACATGAGTTCAAATGGTGGGATTGATAGGGCTTGCTTTCTAAGTGTCCATTATCATGAAAAGAGCTAAAAACAATAATATCACCAAATCAGGGTGAATTTCTGTTGGCATCTTAATAAGATTGTGTTTTAAAAATTATTGGTATACTGTATATTCCCTGAGGACTTATGATGGTAAGGGATATGAAAATATCAAGGTGTATTAAGAGCTTAAATATGGTCTGGAAATTCTGGAAGGTGAACTCCAGACTACTACCACACTGAAGAAATTCAGGGATCCCAAATCCTGGAGAAGGAGGTCAGGGATTGTCTGAGGCCACTTATTAGAAATATGAAATATCTCTACACAACTCGTAAATGAGTCCTGAACCATGAGGAGTCATTTAATTCGTCTGACTGTGGGCATATGGGTAAAATTGAGCTGCCAGTCAGGCCTTGGAAGCGACCCTCTAACCTGGTTAGTGTGGAAATGTGGGCTCCAAAATGTGGAACTGAATTCTGTCTTCTGACAACTTTTACAGTAGGCAGTTATAGATTTTAAGGACTGAAAGTCCTCAGAGGTAGGTGTAGCTGAAGTTATCCTGTTCCTTCCCAGATCCCATGGCACTCAGAACCAAGCAAACACACAGAGACATATTATTACAAACTGTATGGCCTAATGGCTTAGGCTTCTCATTAACTGTTCTTATATCTTAAATTAACCCATTTCTATTAATTTGTGAGTTGTCACGTGTCTCTTGGCTTACTG